TTTAAAATTGCGTTATACAGGGCGTACCACACCCTAACGTTATAAAAAAAATTATAAAAAAAATCTCAGGTTGTTTGAAAATTGTGAGCTTTTAAGTCCAATTTAGAGCTCTGGTGAAATTATCACGATTTTTAGATTATCAGTTTTTATTAATTTTGTTTATTTAACCGTTGAAACTGTAACTGTAACATTTCTAGGAAAGCAATAAAAAACAAAACAATTCCACAAAATTTTTGAAAATTGGGACTTCATGTTAAAACTATGAAATTACCATTTTTTGGTTATTATGGTCAATTTTTATTAATCTTGTTATTTACCCATTGAAACTGTGAGTACCATTTTTAGGACCACAGTGAAAAGTAATTCCACAATTGCACCAATTTTTCGAAAATTGGGACATTTTTTTTAAATTTTTTAAATCAAGTTTAAGAGGTCCTTCTTAAAAAAATGTACTAAAATGTTTTGGCAAGTTTTATCAAAACTTGGCGCAATTAGTCAGGATTGTAAAATGGTAAAAAATTTGATAATTTTATCTTAGAAAAACTTTAAGTAAAAAAATAAAATCGAGTATAAATGTATGTACTTCAATATGTAGTGTTTTAGTTTTGTGAAACCATAACTTGAAATATATAAAAACATAGTTAAAGTTAAATTAAATTAAAGCTCTTATCCTTTTTTGTTACTAGTCTTAAAAAAAATTATTTACTTTTTTCAAGATTTACAAAGTAAATACATATAGCATAAATAAAAAAGTATTGATTCAGTCTATGAATGTTTTATATTAAATAAAAATATTCTTTTGTAATCAGATATTTTAAATTCATATATTAACACCTAAATTCTTGTATTGTTCAATTAACATAAATAAAAATATTTTCCTAAGTAGTAATAATGCCATAATTATGAATAAAAAGTATATATGCGCCCACGTGCTTTACTTTATTTCAATAGCTATATAATTTTAATTACCTGTGAGTTAAATCCTTAAACTTGAACTTTATTTACACTTCAATAAACTTTTAAATAACTTTATATAATAATAATTATTTATATTCTCTATTCTAATTCCTTGTTTCTTCACTTAAAAGCCGGCAAAATAAAACCAAAACTGTGTATATTTTATACAACCAAAAAGAGTTAAATATTATTACTAAAACTAACTAATATGTTTTTATTTTCTTTATACTATATTTTAATAATTTTTATCATCACAACCATTGCAAAATTGATGTAACTACCTCGAAGTGTTCTTTGCAAATGTTGAATGGACGTTTGCTCCATGTTTTTCAAACAAATATACCACGAGGATTTGCTAAATCAGGGACGAAATTTGGTAAAATAGAAATAAATTTATAATAATAATTATTTGATATTATATAATGGAAGAATTTCATATAAATAAGCTTAATTGTATTTTATTTTATATATGGCAATTCGGCTTAAAGGACCACATGTAAACAGATCCACCATAATTATCTAAAAATCAAGGAAATATTCATACCAGAAGTGTTTTCTTTGTTGATAGTTTTTTTGGTTTTGAGCTCTTGTATTTAGTTACCTGAATATAATTTTTAGGTATAAGTTATTTAATTGTTTTGTAACATTTATTATTATTTTTAAGTTACATTCAACAGTTCTTTTTAAATAATCTATATGAAAAATTACATGTTGGGGTAATAAGAATGTTTTTAAAATTTAAAAACATCAAATTTTAACCATGGACTAGGTACTCATTTTTAAAAATCGAGTTAAAAATATTTATGCTTTTTTAATACGTTTTAGTCAACTTGAAAATGTCAAGTTGAACTATTATTAACTTCTTGTAGGATAAATTATTGTAATTGTCCAAAAATTTAAATTGAAAATGTTTGCATATCTTCACGTTTTAAAGGTTTCTGAACATTTTGTTGTTCCTTATAATAAATTGATGTATGTATGTTGATTTGGCAAAGGCAGGTCCAGCCGTTACGGAGATACGGAGCAAAGAGTGCAGAAAATGGAAATTGTGTTTTTGTGAGAACAGAGCATACTATTTAAATGATTCAAAAAGCATTCGAATCGTAATTATGGGGAGAATATCGCTAATAATAATATATTTATGACATTTAATATTCTTTAAATATATTATTACTGTACGAGAAGTAACAGCAAATTGCCTTGAGGCACGATGCCATACACCACTAGATGTTTTTTAAACACGTTTTACTCAATTTGAAAAAATCAAGTTAAACCCATGGACGACATTATTCACGCTTTTTAGTAAACAATCTAAAATAGTTATCCTTCATACTATTTATAGTACATCTCTGTATATGTCATTTAGCCATTATATCAGAACTTTCTTAGAACTGCGATAAGACGTATGAATATTGTTATATGTATATCATTTTACTTGTTATATAATCGAGAAATATGTGATAATTCAATTTCTTACGGGGCTCAAATGACAAAGTGTTTATCTGGTAAATGAGAATCGAAAAATATCAATTGATAATATGCATTCATGAAATTAGAGAAGAGATTAATTTAGTTTTGTATAACATCATTCCATATGCATAACTTTTCCATCGCATGCTTTATATTTCAAAGCACTGTATATGTATTACATTTTTTTTAGAAGATGAGAATTTGAAATTTTCATGATTTTTTTTAGATAGAAAAATTTTAAGGTATCTCTTTACTGTATTTGACATTATTTAAGTACTAGTGGTGCATGACATCGTACCCTAAGGCAAATTTTTAGAACTTCTTGAATCGTTTTTCTTCGACATTTTTGATAAATTTGAAACAGAATTGCCCTTTTTTCCAATATCTTCGAAACGAACTGCCTTTATCAAGAACTGATCAGTACAACTTCACATTAATAGAACAATCGAATGCTTTTTGAATCTTTAATGTAGATTAATTCATGTTCTAGAAATTTTGGACGTAAATTTGTGTCCCACATACATCAATTTTCGAAGATTTTTCGAAGATTTTTTTAGAAACCTTTGAAACGTAAAGATATGCAAAAATTTTCATTTTTGATTTTTTGCAACTTCTATAACTTACCCTACGAGAAGTTAAAAATGTATCTGTGTCTATATATGTAGTTGCCTTACAGTTTCAAAATTAAATATTCGACTGAATTGTTAATATACTATAAAATCTTTAAAAACATGCATGTAGTTCTAAACTATTTTTAAAAATACTTACCCATTTTGCTAGTAAAACTTGTCGTACAACTTAAAGTTGAAAAAGCTTTTATTGAGAGATATATAAAGTTTTTACTTCTATGTAAAATTACTTTTGCAGTTTCTAGTAAGTTTCAAAATATGCCTTTTTAGATTCATAATAATTTTTAATCCAAAATAAACTTTGGACTATATGTTGCATGCAATTTGTTCGAGGACAATATCAATATGAATTGAAGAGATATTAATTATTGGTTCTTTTCTTGATATGTAAAAACAAAAACTTTTTAAGATTTATCGATTTTATTTTAAATTGTAACTTACATTGTTGAGTGTTCATCTTTTTAATCTGTACTTGTTGGCGGTTAAAACATAACTAACCTCCACTCCATAATAATCAGTTTTACTTACTTATTGTCGAATAAGGGTTGATTTATAATAGTTTTATATAAATGGTACCAACTTACAAGATAAAATTACGAACTTATTTTAATGAAAATGTGATGAACATAAAATATTATAATAAATACATAATAGTTCTTAACAGAATATTGTGTAAACAAGAAAAGCTCGGTCTCTTAGATAACTCAATATTATATTCTTTCCTGTATTATAGTTATATTATTAATTACTACACTTTTAAAAGCTTGTGTGCACTGTAACTATTGGAAGAATGAAAAACGACAATAGACATAAAATTTGAAATATTTATTACTCGTAAATGTTTGAGTACTGAATACTTGAGTAGTTGAGTACTGAATATTAAAAATTCTAAATTTAAAAATATAATATAAAAATTATAATACTGCCTAAAGGGGATGGCAGTTTACTAACTAATACTAGACTAATACTTCTAAAATAATTAGAATTTTTCTATAATCTCACAATTTTGTACAATTTCTTAGAATGGTACATGGGTTTAAAGTAAGGATACATTAATAAGAGCAGTATAAAAAGGGATGTGGCGTATTCACTTAAGCTATGGAAAATATATGGAAAAATTATATAATTTGCACTTGCATCCTGTGCTCACTTAAACTAAACAATGATCATAATATATTTAACGAATTCTTAACATTAGAACTTATTTTTTTATCAAAGTCTCATATCGTATTCTTCTTGTTAATTGCGATTTTGTATGAAAATGTGCCTGTACCCTTTATTTATTATTATAGATTGTTTATGCACTGGGTGTCCTAGAACTTAACATCAAGACGAGACGGGGTATTGACCTTAACTGCCTTACAAAAATAATAAAAAAATGTTTATAGCGTTGAGTAAGATGTACTAGCAAAAATCATGACATTTTAAGATTTTTATTTTTTACTCAAAATTTTTCATATAAAATTATCAAGTATTTTACCATTTTGAAATCCTGATTAAATGTGCCAACTTTTGATGAAACTTGCCAACACACTTTAGTACATTTTTTTAAAAGGTGGATCTCTCGAAGTCGTTTGATCATACAAATTTTAAATTCATAGTTCAACAAAAAGTCTTGAAATTAATTCTTGAAAACTTGGTCTAATTGTGTTATTATTGCTTACTGCGATCTTAGAAATGTTATTCACGATTACAGTTCCAAAGTTTAAACTGACAAAATTAACCACATTAACCGAAAAAATTCCATAATTTTATCAAAGCTCTAGGTTGCACTTGAAAGAATGCTCAAAAATGTCAAACAACGTGAGATAACTTTTTTTCTAAATTTTTCATGAGCTTCATATCAATACTATTACCCCGTTTTGGCATGATGTTAAGTTCTAAGACACCCTGTATAATAATATAATACAAAATTTATTATCTAATTTATTCTTTTTGTTGCAGATGGAAAGGCAGTGTATATAAATTAGTATGGAGGGAACTTTTAGCATATTTAGCATTGTATTATGTGATAAATTTAGTATACAGATATGCATTGGACGACCACCAACAAAAGTAAGTAGATTCCTTTGTTATTTAAGGAAAGAGATAAAAAACATACAAAAGTATCAATATAATAGAAAACATTGTAACATACCCTGGATAGATAAGAATGTTCCAAATGGTTGTCAAAAAATATTTTTATTTATAAATCTAATATAATAATTGCTCAAACATTTGTGTTTATTTATCATCTACGAGCTTTTACATCTTTACTACATTTTAATAAAATATTTTATTCTCTATTTTTCCTTTAACTTTATCATATTAAAGATCATGTTATTATTTACGTGTAAATTGTATATAAATTAATGAATTTTAATTATAAAACACGTTGAACAAGTATTTTAATATTGATTTATGAATCAACAACGTGAGTTTTCTTCAATACACGTGGTTAGGATTTGGTTTATTTATTCTACAATATTATTATTTTAGAAGATTTGAATCTTTTAACCAATTTATTTCAAATTATTGCTTTTGTTAATTTAATAAGCTCATCCTATTGTAAAAAATATTTCATAATAAATTATTCAGATGATATTGAAAAACTTTTCTAAATAAATATAATTGAGTAAATAAATTTCTTTCTTCATACTGGAAAGATTGACTGAAAATCAATTGGAAAGATTTTTTAGAAAGGAGTTTAATTTTAAAGAAATTTGTTTTTTAGTATATTTATTTTATATTTTTAGTATATTTATTTTATTGTACTGTAAGTCATTACATTACTCTTAATATTGATCATTTATCCTAACGTCCAATAAAATGATTAATAACTCTATTACTAATTGACTTTAATAAGACGTCTTCATTTTTTTTATCATTTGTCATTCCATCTTGTAACAATGTAAATATTTGACGTCGTGGGCATTTAACAATAAATACATTTAATAATTATTCATCATATATGAGATAATTGTATTCTGCATATCATTGGCACCGATTTTGAATAAAACCCATTGTGCGAAACGCCTTCTGAAAACTTTCGATTTTTTGACAATTGTAATAACAATTTCACTTTATGAATATATAAAAATAATAAAAGTTGATGGTTGAATAAAACTAGAAATAATAATTTATGAACAAGCAGCTGGAGTGGCGTTTTTATTGAAAGCAAGTTTCATGTGCTTTCTGACATGTGAAAACAACTGAACCCAATTTTTGGAATTTCTAATTTTGTGGCATTTTTTAATTATTATTTTAAATAAAAAAACTGATTAATACAATTTTCAATAAATCTTTAGGTAAAACTTGTAATTACTTGAACAAAGGTCTTTCTGGTACAATTTAGATGTTTTCAGCTTTGAATTTTATATTTGTTGCTTCAAAAGCAGTCATGCAAAATGTTTGTACTGAAGTATATAAAACTTAGTATATAAATTCAAAGTAAATTTCATCTAGTTTTCGTTATGCTAAGAAAAATTTAATGACCAAGTGCAAAATTTTCAAGATATTTAAAGAATTGCAGAAAAGTGCACCAAATTTTCAAACGCGTAAAGGCAAGTGCAAACTTGTTTTTTTCAAAATTTTTGTACCCAAAATATGTTACACTAATTACGTTTGGATGAAGTTTTATATAGCACTAGTAAAAAAATGAACGTCTGTGATATTCTTAAGTTTTTAAATTAATTTTAACAAATTTTAGCATTAGATGCTAGTTGAAGTTAAAAGCCAAAACTCAAAAATCTTTATCAAAATCGAAAGATATTCACAACTATCTCCAGAACTTTTTTGAATTTTTTTAATTGATTCTGATTTTTTTGCAAAAATGTTGATAAATTCTAAGCTTTTCAAACATTGTTAAATACACACTTCAATATAGAAAAAAAACTTTACTAATCATAAAAAAACTGATAAATATGAGTAATTAAATTTGTCTAAATCTAAATCTAAATATCATTACAACGTGTGTCCAAAGTATTCAGACAGATTTTTAACATCGATGAAACATAAAAATGAACAAATTTCAAATTCTGCAAATGAACTTCATCTTCATCTTCAAAAAGTTCTAAGAACCCCTAGGAGCTTTTTCCATAATTATATCACAACGATTTAAATAAATACCTCGTGTATGTACCTCTTAAAGTTGCACAAAAAATCTCAAGTATTTTGCAAAAAAAACATACAAAATTATCTTAGGGCCATCAATCTTTTCCAGTTTTGTTGCTTGAGGGCATTGGCACCTCAATGACCTTCTGACGACCTTGAAAACAAGTTTTACCGCTCGAACTGATAAAAGTGCTCGCAATTATTGTAATTCGAATGTTGTGGTCATCGAATTCTTCATAATAAAAATAATATTAATAATTAATTATTAAAAAGCAAAGTTTTGAGAGTCATATCAAAAATATAAAGACGTGAATTTTTACATATGTATTTTTAGTCTATTCTGACTGAATCTTTTCTTCTTACCTTACGAATAAACTTGTTTACATAATGTCTGAGTAAGAAGTCATCTTATATAATAACATTAGACTTTACTGATTGGCATCACTTCTAATTAATTTAAAATTAATCGATAAAATGAAAGTTATCAAGGTTTTAATAATAACATTGACAAGGTAAACACCGATCACTGGCATTGCATGTACCTGTATGATTCAAAAACATTAATTATTAAAATTAAAAGTGTTTATTTTAGTATCTGACTCATATTTTACACTTGTAATCTACTTTATGTAAAAAAATAAAAAAATGACATGTATGAGTATAAGATTTTTCTGATGGAATCATTTACAATGTTTATTTATTAAATCATTATCGTTCGGCATTATTGAATTCTAAATTTAGAATTTATGGAGTTTAGAAAAGAATTCATAAATATTATTGAAATTATTTTTTAAAAATATTTCAGCAATGCAGTATTGTTTTCAACAACTATACTCTATTAACTAATTTATTTCAATTGATATGGTTTCGCAGAAATATGTGTTAGTATTTAATCAATAATTCATTCAATTAATTTGATTTATACATACTTAATTAGTAAAACGTGTGATTTTGCATGGATTTTTTAAATCGAAACTATATAATAATAATTATTTTTTATTTTGTTTTCTCTACTCTTTTTTGTTTGCTCTACATATTTATTTTGCAATTATTAAAACGAAACTGAAATTATTAAATAGTAAGAGAATTTTAATTTTTTAATTTTTTGCTATATGTGCATATATTATTATTTTATTTTGGAAGCATTTATTTGAAAAATTTATTTATGATTTTTTATTTATTATGAGTTTTTTTGTTTTATGATTATTTCTACGTTTCGGGAATATAGAATGTCCTCTTCTTCAGGATTTTTGAATCATTCCAATTACTAGTTCTGCAGAAGAATTAATATATAAAATATAATATATAATGTAATATATAAAATAAATAAATTATTTATTCACAAAATAAATTATTTATTTATTTTTTAATAATATTAGCTGTCAGGAAAATTTCTATAATTACATATATATTATAATATTAATTATTTTAGTATATAACTGAAATTTTTTTGAATTATAGTTTTTTTCAATTATAGTTTTAGATTTAATTTTACTAATTGATATTTCATTTGTTTTAGGACTTTCCAAAAAATTCAAAAATATTTTGGAGCACAAAGCGAAAGTATACCAATGTCCTTTGTGTTAGGTTTCTATGTATCACTGGTTGTCAAAAGGTGGTGGGATCAATTCAGATTGCTGCCATGGCCGGACACGCTGGCTTTGTATATAAGTGCCGGAATTCCGGGAGATGTAAGTTGATAACAAATTTATATTAGACTTATAAATTTATATGAAAAAATCAGTATTATTTGTAAACAGTAAATTTTATCCAACCAGTGAGTTATAAATGATGTAATTTTTTTTATTGTAGAAAACATAGTACCATTAAGCACAAATTTTGTAAAAGCTCTTCTGTAAATGCTCTTTTGACATTTATTATTCATTTGAAAAAGTTTGCAAATTCTGTTTGAAATATTATTTAAATTATAAATTGTCATTGCCTTTATTTATGCCCTTATCCAATTTTCAGAAGCTTTCTTCTTCATTCGTCAACATCAGCTTTTCTATTTTAAAATTAAGAAAAAAACAGGCGGCATATTTCAAATTATTCATATGGTGCATTAGCTTAGTTTTGATTTGTTTATTTTGTAAGTAAATCATATTTAGTATCATTTTTACATTGATATTCTTGAATCTTAGATTATTTATTACTCCGCAAATGTAATATTTATATAAATTATAAAAAATATTGTATCATGACATATCGGAAATCTAATTTCTAAATCGAAATCACATTTTCCAAAATAGTGTTATCTATTTTGCCAATTCGTCTTTTTACTTCCAAATACATAAATAAATGCAACTTGTCAAATTACACAATAATTTTGTTTTATCTTTTTTTTTTTTTTCAAGACAATGCAGTATGTATGTGCTGCTTCTTTTCCCAAATATTCATTCCATCTATTATAGCCTCTGCAGAATAAATTCCACATTTAATTTTAAATTCATTTCTAGTAAATATTCTCCGGTAGATAGATAAATTCCGGTCATGTTTCTGTTTTATTACGAATTCTCCGTAAGTCCGTGCTGAAGCGCATTCATCACTTCTGGCAAATGTCGACAAATGACCAACTTGAATATTATATCCAAGTGAAAGGTGCAATACCTTCCAGGGAATGCAATTTTAATAATTTAATAAATATAATAAGTTGACTAGTGTTGGAGAATGGCATGATGCCTTGCAAACTATTGCTAGGATAATTTTCAGATAAATATTAGATTTTTTGGAGAAACATCCCAAAACAATCGAGGCATCACCTAGATTTAGAAATATAGCTCCATTTGCAGAATATTAAAGTTTACCTAAAAATATTAGATAATTCAATTATCCTTTACCTCAGGGAAGTCCAAGTACAAATCAATTTCAATCCATTAAATGTTGACAAACCCTGTTCTGCATATATACTTTCTATAATGGCCTGTTCTTCTGAGAACCACGGTCGTCTACTGATAATACACCGGAATTTCACCAACGCCATTGTCGATCAGAAATTACTTGGAAATAAAATCAATCATTTTGCAAATCGACGTTCGATTTATGACAGATTAGATCATAATAAATATCTATTATCGGAATAGATCGTTTTATATATTGTTGTAAATGTTTCGTAATTTGAAAAACAGCAATCAGAGCCATTCTTAGGTGTTTTATGAGCTGTGAGGCAACCCAGTGGTAGATTATTCTCTTGTGATGATATAATTATTAGGTAGTCTATTTGTACATGAAATTGGAATTTAGATATGCATTTTTAAGTGAAAACTGATATCACTACTGCTTTTACTATTTGAGCCACGTACAAGCCCATGTTTACTGAATAATTGATACTGAAATTGTAAAAATTCCTTTACTATTTTTTTAATAAGCTGATAAGATATTTATTATTATATCAATATTCATTACTTAGAAAAAATTCAGTAAATTTAAAGACATGAGTAAATAAGTGTTGATTGATTAATATAATATTCGGTGTTTAATATCTGTATATAATTTTATTTAATTTAGTTTATTCATAATTCGAATATAATTAATATAGATAAATTAAATACTGACCAATGTTTTTTTAAAAATATCAGTACCTACGTACTTACTTTTGCAGTACTTTGCAAAATATATTATAACGAATTAAAAGGCTAAAGGTAACCCTTTAATGTAACTTCATCCACTACGTTAAATTTTTATTTTTAAATGTTAAATTTTTTTTTATAATAAATTTTCAATATTATTAATAACTTACTAAGTTTTATCAATCATAAAATTTATAATCTTATTCATTGTTCATTTTTAAATTCAATTTATTTTTCAATTTTTCTTGGCGTTGGAAATTTTGCATTTTGGCTTCAATGAATTTGATTTTTAATTATTATTTTTTTAAATAGTAGTAATTTTGTCCTTATTTTATTTTCAGGAAGAAAGGGGTAGACTAATGCGTCGTAACATAGTCAGATATGCAGTTTTATCATATGTTATCACATTGCAAAGGGTCTCTTTGCGGGTCAAAAGGAGATTTCCTACATGGCAACATTTGGTGGATAGTGGTATGATAAATTAATAGATATTTTTATAAATATTATGAAATAATTTTTTGATATTATTGTGAAGCTTTTCGAAGTTTTGTCGATTAACTTACATTTTATTGTTGATTTGTTGTCTTTCACCTGGGTCAATAATTGATTAAATAATTGAGGATTTATAATTTGTCACCAGTTCTGAGCAAATCAGAATCATTCTGTTCGAAATTTCCAAATTATCACAAGTCTGCTGATCGAAACAAATTCATTGGCATTGATTAAAAAATTAAGTATTTGGAACTTGGTTTTGACGTTATGGCCGAACCCATGATCTGACACCAGTTGTGGGCATTTACGAATCATTCTGATCTAAAACTCCAAATTACCACAAGTCTGTTAATTGCAAAATTTTCATCGACATTGATTGAAAAATTGAGAATTTGAGATTTGGTTTTGACGTAACTAGCAAAGCAATAATCTGTAACCAGTTCTGAGCAAATCGGAATCATTCTGATCCAAATCTCCAAATTATCACAACTCTGCTGATCGCAGACTGAAAAGTTGAAGTTTTGGGATTTGTATTCGATGTCATATCCAAACCCATGATCTGTTAACAGTTTAGAGAAAATCAGCATCATTTTGATCGCATTACAAGTCTGCTGATAGCAACTGACTGAAAAATTGCGGTTTTGGTATTTGGTTTTGACTTCATGACTAAATTCATGATCTGGAGTTTCTGGACAAGTTTGGAGCAAATCAGGCTCAGTCTGATTCAAAATCACAAGTCTGCTGATCACAACATCATCATTGACATTGACTAAAAAATTGAGGTTTTGGGATTTGGATTTGACGTCATGTGATTTGTCACCAGTTTTGGGCAATTCACGGTCATTCTGAACCAAATCTCAGACATTTAATAAAAATTGGAGCATTTGGATTGACGTCATTATCAAACCAATGATCTGTCACCATTTCTCAGCAAATCAGGATCATTTTCATGCTAATTTTTAATTTAACATAAGTCTGCTGATCGCAACATCTTCAGACACTTTTCTGGTGATTTTTTTTTAAATCAATTTTTTTTCAAAATTGGGACTATATATTCATCCAAAGCAAAATTGATCATGAATTACGTAGTTGCTGACCAATTTCTATATTTTTATCTGTCAAGCACAAATTAAGTATGCTATGTACTTAAAACTCTTCCTCTATATTCTAGACATGTTTGTTAACATACCAAAAACAAAAAAATCTTTATATAATTTTTAAGGTTTACTTTATTATTTGAACCGAGTGTCCAAGGTATTCAATAAAAATCAGTAATTAATAATATACAGGTAGTCATAAAAAAGATTACATTTTACTATTCTCAAATATATTTTAATGCGGGTTCTTTGTCGTCATAGATTTCTATTTAATTACATGCAGGCTAAAATATTGAAACTACAAACTTATAAATTACATAGGGGAGGTAGGAGCTTATTGTAACACTTTTACAAAAAATGTAGTGTCTTCAGTAGCCAAATTTACATGAGCCTATTTCTCACAAAATATATATTCCACCCAATAATCTTTACTCGAATTTGTGTATAATTCTTGTACGTTACAAGGAGTCTTAAGGATTTATTTTAACTAATCCCAGATGTGTTTTTTTTTCATTAATCAAGATAACTATATAAACAATTTAGGAATCTTAAAAAATATTACATATTATCAAAAGTTGATAAATTTGAAGCAAATTAAGATATATTTCAAATAAGTCGATAATAATGATGCAAATTAATAATTTATTATTATTCAAGATCCTATTGAAAAACGTCTGATACTACATACTCTTCTTACAATAACCCCCAGCTCCCCTACACACATCTATTTATAATTATTTCAATCAAATTTCAAAACCTTCATCAAGCGTATTAAATTTAAACCCGACAGTAATTAGTTCTGTCAACATAATTATAATTTACTCTTTGACTTTTATCTTGTTCTGGGTATTAATTTTCAATTTTCCGCATCTCAATCTATTATATAACTTTTTCAATCGGTGTTTTTCTGATTTATTAAGTGTAGTTATATAATTATGCGTCATGGTTGTAGAATCGCATTATTGCTAATACATGCAAATTTTATATATAAAATACTTAATTGCACTTTAAGTGCTTTAATTGGATCGTTAGCTGCTCGTGTTAAAAATAAATTTGTAACAAACAAAATATTTATTTAAATATTATCTTGATAATAATAATAGATCTAAGATTATATTCCTCAAACAATAGGAATAAAAAAATGGTTAAATCCCAGAAGTTTGACTTTATTATATTGTCTCAGGAAAGTATTGCTTCAAGAAAATTTGAACTGCGTAGTTGTTTAGCAAATTTTATTGATCATAAAAATATTATCAACAACGAAACGTGACGCTTTTTAAAACAACAGAGGCATATTTGTTAAATAAAAATCAATTTAAAATGTTTTGTTGATCTCAACTGGATCTTGGATAAACTAGCAAAGACGTATCTTTGACAGATCAAATTAAAAAAAATATATACAATGGATGTTTCGACAATTTTTTGTGAGCAAACAAAGAATTTTTTGTCTTATAATTATATAAATTAGGCAAGTTTTCAGAAGATCAATTTATAATACTTGAATCGCTTTCAACTCTATACATCTCTGATAAAGCAGCAATTTATTGATTCAGAAATTTTAAAACTTACATTTTTGATATAGGGTAGGGCAGGGCACAAAGATCTAATTTGACTTCAAGTCTAAACCAAACTAGTCTAAACAAGTCACAACACATTACACATATCAAACAAACAACAATCAAACTATGTTCAGGAAAATTCGCAATTAACTTCTAAATATAGAAATGTGTTTTTTTAACTATTTTACTGGAATTTTCATTTGTCCCTTTTAACCCAATAAATGTTAAAAAAGTTATATTAATCACAAAAAATCGAAAATAATTTTTTTTTATATATCTTGACGTTTCAAAAGTTCCTGAACATTTTGGCATACCTTAGAGAAAATGGATGTATGTGTATGGACGGATACAAATTTTCGTCGACGATTTTGGGAACACGTATCAACCGATTTGTGTAATTCAAGAAACATTCGATTCGTATCAATAAGGAGACGAGCTGATTAGTTTTTGGCAAAAGCAAGTTTAGCCGTTCCGAAGATACGGGGCAAAAAGTGCCAAAAATGGTAACTCAGTTTCCAAGACAACGGAGCGTCCGATTTTAACAATTTAAAAAACATTTTAATTATATTGACAAGATAAAAAACTGATTAAATTTTTGGGAAAGCAGATCTAGCGGTTATGGACAATCAATAAAAATAAAATAAAAAGATACCTTTTGGCAGTCAAAAATGATCATTAGACATATGCACATCAAATTATCAGATATTTTATAAAGATTTTCATAATGTGTACACATTTTGTGTAATTTGTTTGGGTTCGTTACCAAGATTTTTAATTACGGTACGGGAAGTTCCAGCAATTTGCCTTAAAGCACGATGCCATGCACCCCACTAGTTTTTAATTTTAAAGGGATTTTACGAACTAATAGCTACATTATTCAACCAATGCAAAATATAAATTTCATGGGTACATTTTTTACAAATATAACACTGTATATAACCTTGATCTGGTATTTCGTCAGAAATATTTATCAACAAAGTTCGAATAACTATTCAATTATTTTATCTACTGTTTTAACTTAATTGACTTTTTATTTGATATTTATTTTATTATTTATACCTTTGCCAGGATAAAGGTTTAGTTGGTCTTTTTACTTCAGCCACATATAAGTTTTTGAAGAGGTTATATAAAAAAAACGGTTGAATCTAATTAAAAAGTAACAACACAACTTATAAAACAATTAAATAACTTACATATAAAACTTATATTAAGGTTTTGTAAACTAAATAACAGTGCTCATAGTCAAAAAACTAGCATCGAAAGAAAATACTTTTGTTTGGATTTTCAAACGTAAGAATCAAGGTGATGGCTTATTTTTCATATTTTCCTTCTACTTTCAAATATTGTCGTTAAAAAATTCCTAACTTCACTTATTTTTGAGATATCGGTGGTGAACCTTTTTACCCATGGACCTTTAAGCCCCGCTCTACCCTAAATGTTTTTTACGCACTATTTTTATGGATCCTGTGTTTGCTTCTACAAATGCGTGTTATTTCCCGCTTAGGAATTTAATTTATCCACATAATTACAATCAATAGGTGCAAAAAATGATAAAAACACGATACGATATAATTACTAAATAATAATATTAAAATCTAATTCATTGTATCACTTATGAATATCGCGAGAAAAACAACTTATATCCATTCTATGCTAATTTTTTATTACACCGCCGTTGAATTTATATATTTTATATAACTATATATGATTTATCGTCCATGAATATGAAATTGGCATGCGATGTAATTTTTTTTTGCTATTATTCGCTTATATTCTGCCACTTAACAATGTGGAAGATATTAAGATGTTATCGAGGCAAGGTCGATTCAGTTCCGCAAAGGAAACTTATACGCATTTTGAATTTGTCGTATTAAAAATTTTACACGCGCCTGTGATTATAAATAATTAAATGATTTATGGTAATTGATAATTAATTCTTAATTGTGTTTGTTTTATAATGGGTAATTAAGAGTTTAAAATTCGTCTTTAAATTGTTTTTTAGTATCTATGAAACATATGAACTGGTGGCTTCTTTAACCACGTGGCTTTACTAATAGCAACTCAAACAATTTCCTATCTCTATGTTATAAACTTATTAAAAATTTTTTGTAGCATCTAAACTATATCGATTTTAAGACAGGGTCTAAAGGGAGAAAGATGAAGTATGTTTGTTCGAATAAGTTTCGATTAGTGCACTAAATCAGCGCCCTTCGTTAACATGATCTGAAGACCGCGTTGTAATTATTAATAATTATATGATTTATGGTAATTGATAATTAATTCCTAATTGTGATTGTATTAAAATGGGTAATTTAAAGTTTAATTTTGTTTTCTTCA